CATTTTACTTCTGTATACTGTACTTCAATTTTAAAAGTGAAGTAAGTATTCCATACTTGTATTATTAATACAAATAATACTTTACTAGACTAATTGACACTATTTTTTGTCGTATACTGTGATTATACATATTCTAAATTTAAATTATAGTGAGACAACGTTCATCGAATCTCTAACTACGCTTAAATCAATATTATATTGGGATGTTGTCTTAAAATAATTAAAATATAGAGTACAATTATAATCAATATGCAACAAAACAATATCTATTATGCTTATAAAGTATTATCTGTATTAATAACATCATTTATTTAGCTTTTAAATATATGAAATGTCTGTCGTTTCAATTGAAATAACTTGTTTCTTTATGAATTTTATGTAATTTAGTCAAAAATACTGTTATTTACAGTAAAAAAACTAATTGTTTGCTTGATACTTTTCTCCGAAGTAAAAAATACCGTTTTTTACATCTCTATTCAATCGTGTGCTAAGTAACGATGAAAGTAACTGTAAAATTCGTTACCGTTACCAAAAAGATGTAACTAAGTTACCGTTACAGTTACCAAAAAGAAAAAGTAACGCAGTTATCAGTAAAGTTACCCAAAAAGTAACTTGTAACTGTAACTTCGTTATAAGTAACGAGTTACTTCCATTCCCTGCATTTATCCCCACTTTCACAATAACCTGTAATGATCCTATAAATAAGTCTATATTGTATCATACTCCACAAAGCAGGAAATAATAAAAGAAAAAAAAGAGACATGGACAGGCAGAGAGAGGAGGACAAGTAGAGAGAGCATGAGAAACGAGAGAGGGAGAAGTCGAGAGAGAAGGACGGAAAACAGAGAGAGGGATATAAAGAAAAAGAAAAGTCAAAGAAGAGACAAAGAAAATCTAAAAGAAAAAAAGAAAGAAAATGACAGAAGAAAGGGACAAGAAGAAAGAGATACGAAAAAAGAAAACGAAAGAAAAGAACAAGAAAAAAGAGACACGAGAAAGGAAAGGTTCGTATCTTCTGGTTACAAAATTTGATTGCTTATTAATGTTAAGAATCAAAATAAAGTCATTTTGATTTTGTGTTGAGTTTTGTGTGTTCCTTTATGTATTATTCTGTATATTATTCAACAACATGCTATGAATAATTTTATAGGTCGATGGATGAACAAATGTCCGTAAGCGAAGAAGAGGAAGAGACAGACAAGGAAGAAGGAAACAGAGTAGAAAGAAAAAGAGGAGGAAGACATTTAAAAGAGAGAAACAACATGTAAGTTCTATTTGTGAGTGACAATTTTAAAGATTCGTTATTCTTATCTTATAAAATATTAATTTTATTTATTACCTTTTTTGTGTAGATATTATTCATCAAGAAGAAATATAAGAGAAAGATGGAAAGCAACAAGACGAAGAGGAGCAGGACGGAGAGGAGCAGAATGGAGAGGAATAGGACGGAGAGAAATAGAACGAAGAGCACAATGGAGAGAAACTCAATAGAGAGAAACTCAACGGAGAGGAGGAAGGTGGAGAGGCGGATACAATAGGGTGGATCCGAGATCCAAATATGGCAGCCCTATATTTTATTTCGTTTATAATTAATACTGTTTATTTTATATAATTTTACTTATAATAAATCAACCTAACTAAGACTCCTTATAAATCAAAAAACAATGAAAGAACAAGGGCAGTAGGAGGCAAGCGCGGGAGATGTTGCGCAAATAACACGACTATCGTAGCGTGAAACTTCTTTATTTTACTAAAGCGCGTACATGTTTCGGCTCATTTTTTAGCCTTCTTCAGAGATAACTAATACATTCACATACCTAGAATATAACAATAATTAACTAGTCATGGTGATCTTCCTCACCTCGAGAGTATAAATACCAGAATTAAATCCAGATAAGAATGCAGTAAAAAAGAAAAAA